GCGGCTTTGCATCGGAGGCCGGAGCACCAAACGCACTCTTGAAGACCGACTCGGCTGGCGGCTTTGCATCGGAGGCCGGAGCACCAAACGCACTCTTGAAGACCGACTCGGCTGGCGGCTTTGCATCGGAGGCCGGAGCACCAAACGCACTCTTGAAGACCAGCTCGGCTGGCGGCTTTGCATCGGAGGCCGGAGCACCAAACGGAGTCTTGAAGACCGACTCGGCTGGCGGCTTTGCATCGGCTGTGCTTTGATTGGTTGTCAGGTAAAATGTACGTTTGGCTGCACATGGCCAACAGTCACTTCTAACCTCTCTTTTTCCCTCAAGATGTTTCCCAGCAAGCGGTTTTGCCTTACCGCAGACACGACATTTCCATTCTTGAAAGCAGTTATCGGAAGCTGTCCGTTCCTCCGCCTTCCTCCCAAGAGTGGGGACAAGACACATATCTTCATCTGATTCCATTGGAACCCGAGGAGCTTGAAAACCCTCTGCAGTCCTCGCAGTCCCTGACACCCCAATCGTACTACTTTCTAACTCTCTCCCTTTCGCATTTGGGCGTAGCTGTTCAGGTGCCACAGTAGTTTGCTCCTCAAAATTAAATGTTGTCTTCTTCCCGCATGGCCAACAGTCCGAGCGCACCTTCGTTTTACCTATCAAATGCTTTCCACCAAGTTCCTTTGCCTTACCACAAACAATGCACTTCCACAGTCCACTGTCACCACCATATGAATTATGCAAGCTCTTTAAAACTGACTCGGCTGGCGGCTTTGCATCGGAGGCCGGAGCACCAAACGCACTCTTGAAGACCGACTCGCGGCGGCTTTGCATCGGAGGCCGGAGCACCAAACGCACTCTTGAAGACCGACTCTGCAGGCGGCTTTGCATCGGAGGCCGGAGCACCAAACGCACTCTTGAAGACAGCCCCGGCTGGCGGCTTTGCATCGGAGGCCGGAGCACCAAACGGAGTCTTGAAGACCGACTCTGCAGGCGGCTTTGCATCGGAGG